TAAAAACATTTTTTCCCTTCTGTATCTGACATTTCGCGATTGGCACAGGACAGAGTTTAGGGCTGTTGTACATAGGGTCGCTATGAGTCACAAGCAACTTGACGGCACATAACAACATCTGACATTTCATATATTTTCAAGCTTCATCTACATTGTAGCAGTCATCAGAATTTCCTTTACCTTGATGATTGAAAATATCCCATTGTATATAATTATTTTATAAGTTGATCTGTTGATTGAGATACATTATTTTTTAATATTAACATGTTGTTGTCGATTACCTTCAAGTCAAGCACGACTCCTAGCGACCCTATGAACAAAAGTCCTGAAGCTTTTCTGTAACTATCGTAGTTTCTCCAGGTTCATAGAGTTTTCAGAGGCATGTGATTTTAGGAAATGGATGCCACTCCTACTTCCAAAACATTAATATACTTTTCTCTTTTGTTTCCTCCAAGTAACTTCCGTAGAGCAAGTTTGCCATTCTGGTGAGCACAATTCCCTCACTGAAACCTATAATCAAGTCTGGCCTCTGTGCCTTCACTCAAAGACTATCTCTTGACAACCATGAGATCCCTCTTTGTCGTGTCTCTGTGTCCTTTTCCTTCAGGCTTAAGGATTTCCAGCGTTGTTGTTGGGTGCCATCAAACTGACTCTGACTCACAGCGACCCTATGAACCACAGGCCTGAACTTGGCCCTATCTTGCCCCATCCTCACCATTATTGATGTCCGGAAGCACATTGTTACAGGCACTGTGTCAATCCTCCTTGTTGGGAGTCTTCCTCTCTTTCTCTGACCCCTCTCTACCTTTTCCAGCATTATATATCTCTTTCCAAGGACTGGCCAAAATCACCATTCTTGCTTCTGGTTGCATTTCCTCCAAAGAAAGGAAAACTGTGTTCTGAAGGAAAAGGTGCGAAGCAGCACTCAACAGCTCCCCTTGATGGCCACTGTCACCAACGCCAGGAGCCGGAGCTTGGGACCCTGTTAACGGCCTGGCAGCCTCAGAAGAGCGCGCATGCACAATAGGAGCGCTGTCCTTGTAGAACCCGGCGGCGAGCCCTAGAGGGCGGTAGAGTCTCGGGACTCAAGGGGCAGTTTCCGGCGGCAAGTAGCCATGATTGGTGGATCCTAGGAGAGGGCGGGGCCTCGAGAAATTCAAATGGGAAGGCGGCTCAAAGGACGGAGTGAAATGGACCCTGTCCTCCCAGCTCAGCGGAGACCACGAGAGAAGGCGGCAGCGACTACAGGTACCTGAGCCCGGCCTGCGTGGGGTGGGGAGCCGAAGCCAGGAGGCTTACGGGGCGATGCGCCGAAAGTCTGGCCAGGGATCAGCGAGTTGCCCTTGCGAAGGGCGCAAAGGCGGAATAGGGTGAAGTCCGAGCGTTTGGGGATCCGGAACTGGTCAATCCGTCTTGTTCTCTTTCTTTTCGTTTCCTGCGCCTCCTCGCCATCAGTGTACTCCTGCTGAGTCCAGACTCCTTCGTTTGAGTCTCACGCCCTTGTCCTTTCTGAGCGTCAGTTTCTTTCTCTGTTACCATGAACACAATGACCTCATCTCTGGAGATGACTTTCGTAGGCGATCAAAAAGTGGCTAGCATTCTCTCGGCAGGGACAGAAAGAACCGAATGGATATTCTCTGGAAAGAGACGTGGAGATTGCGTGCAGCGAGATCCTTGAGAGGTGCCAGGGGGCAGACTGAGGCAGACTGAGGTTGTGCTAGAAAAAGTTGACAGCTTCTTGGGATGATAAAATTTAAAATGCACTGAAACCACAGGAAAGATAAATAAAGGATTGTTTCCTTTCCATCTAGCCATAGAAGGCTGTTAAAACACTCAGAATTTGGGATTTGTTTACAAATCTCCTCCTCTCTTCCTCTCAAACAGAAAGTCAAACTCACTCTTACTTCTTACAGAACAGCTTGTGGGTTCCCCCCACTTTGGGACACAGCCTGTTAGGAGGGCAACACCTTAGTGACTGACTAGTCATCTCTTCCTTTAGACTGTGAATGCCGATCAAGTCAGCAATGAAGGTGAACCCTGTAACATGGGGCACAGCATATTTGGGCTGCTAACCGAAAAGGGTGAAAATTTGAGCAGACTCTTCCCATTAAAAGATTTACAACCTCAGAATTCCCCGTGAATTAGTATCGACTGTACTGGCAATGGATTGAGTTTGGTAGAGAAAAAGGTATTCAGGACAATGCCCTAATGTGTTGAACATTTACTTTCATACAGGCATGCTTGTGGGCACTTTTGTAGTGATGAAACATTTTATTGCCACTCAGTGCTACCAAAAAAATCAACATTACCATGTAATATATTGGTTAATGAACCAATACATAAGGCACTGAGTCACCAGGGCTCCTTACTGTGCTAACAGCTGGTTGCTATTATTGTTCCTATTTTATGGATAAATGGATTGGATAGCTTGACCAAAGTTAACCCAACCAGTCAAGAACACAGCCTGAATTTGCACTCAGGCAATCTGATGCTGGTACTTCCTCTTTTGACCTTTATTCCCAAACATAAGCTGTTCCTTCTGTTTCAAGATATGTTCCCCTCACTCCTCCAAGACCTATTGTTTGACACATAGTTGTTGGTTTGTTGTTACTTACTATCCAGTTGGAACCACTCATTGCTGACCTTCCAGTGGATTTTCACGGGCAATAAATTACATGGAAGGAGATTACACATAGAGCAGCTGGTGGATTTGAACCCTGTGCCTTTGGGTTGGCAGTACAATTCCTTTCCATTAAGCCATCAGAGCTCCCTTTGACACACAATAGATATTATAAAAAGGAGCCCTGGTGGTATGTTTGGACAGCTGATCAAAAGGTCTGCAGTTTGAGTCCATCAGCAGCTCTACAGAAGCAACATGGGTTGTCTCTTCCTGTAAAGATTTTAGCCTCAGAAAGCCAGTGCCAACTCACCAGCAGTGGGTTAGGCGTCATTAAGATGTCAGGAGGAATGTTATCCTTAACCTAGAGAAGCAGCCAAACCCACTGCCATGGGGCCGCCAAGTCATAGAAACCTGTCGTCATTCACCCCCAGCCTGGCTGATGGGCTCCAAACACTGGCTTTCACTGATACAGAAATGAGAGCAGGTGGTGTCAGGAAAGACTCCCCTCTTTGGGACTGGTGTCAGTCATTTCTTAGAGAGGAGGAGGAGATGGTGAAGGGTTCACTTTAGGACAGGACCAGGGCAGCAGTTGAGATGATATGTCTGTAGTTCAGGAGAGAACTTTGATGTGGAAGCTTCAATTAGAAATCATCTGTTTTAAAGTGATCGTTCAAGCGTGAAGCCAACACAATCCCCAGGAAGTGAATCAGAGCAGTGATCTGAAACAAGGGTGGGTAGGTGGGATGTTTATCTAGTTCTGCTATAACAGAAATAATTACCACAAGTGTGTGACTTGAACGCTTGTACTCAACAGTTTAGGAAGCTAGAAGTCAGCTTCTCAGCTCTTACTATTGTTGCTGTCAAGTTGACCAAGACCCTTCTCAAGTATAACAAAGAAACCTTATCCCACACTGAACCATTCTCACAATCTGACTGTGCCAATCCCACCGTGGCAGTCAGTCCCACTCCATCGCATTTAGAGTCTTTCTCTCCTTCTCTGATCTTTCCAAACACACTGTCCTAATGTCCTGTTCCAGGAACTGGCCCCTCCTGACAACATGCCCAAACTATGTTCATTCTTTCATCAATCAATGTGATATTCAGAACGTCAGCACTACAGTTCAGAGGCCCCAGTTCTTCTTTGGTCGGCCTTATTCATTGTCCACCTTCCACATGTATACGAAGCAATTGAAAATGCCATGGCTTGAGTCAAGTGTACTTTAGGCTTTAACAGGACATCCCTGTCTTTAGCACTTTAAAGAGATGCTTGGGGGTGGGGGGAGAAAATGTGCAACAATGAATTAAAAATTGAGAGATGCTTGACTTAGACAGTAGATTAGCCCTACGCTCTGCTGTTTCCATACATCATGTTGATGTGGATCCAAGTAAAATGAAATCATTGACAACTTCAATCTTTTTTCCATCTATCATGTTATGGTCTATTTGTGAGGGGTTTGGTTTTCCTTGTGTTAAGAGTGAAATACCTGGGATAAAGGTACATGCAGGAAGGACAAGAATCATTAAATTCATAAAATAGATGAGAAGAGACATTTTGCCAGATTGTAAGAAATTTAATCAAACTATGAGCCAAGAGAAAGAAATGTAGATCATTGAAAATCATCACTATTATTCTAATAGCCAAGGAAGTTTTGCTGAGGGAGTTAGAGAAACAACATTCTAAATAAAGCAAATCAGCTATCTTTGACACTATATGAAAATTAGACTTACAGAAAAAAAATGCGGTTAAAGTATTTGTAACTAGATATTATTGTAACAAAACCCAAGCCTTTAAAGATGAGAAAATAATTAATTAGGGCAGAAATTCTAATTATCAGAAGGCTATGCCTGGTAAGCAACTAATGTTAAAATACTGAAAACATTTTGATGCAATAAAGAAAATCATACACAGATTAAAAAATAAATAAATAAATGAACCAGATATATTTAAAAAAAAAAAAAGTGAAATGTCTCAGTCACAAAAGAACAGATGCTCACGGCCTGGCCGCGCGTAGGGACCAGGGTCTGGTGCGGAGCGCCCTCCGTCCAGGGAACACGGGGAGCGGCCAGAAAGGCGGCTACCCCCTCGCCCGTCAAGCACCAAACGTTCGCGGGGAGCCTGGTGCTAAACCATTCGTAGACGACCTGCTTCTGGGTCAGGGTTTCGTATGTAGCAGAGCAGCTCCCTCACTGCGATCTACTTTAAAGTCAGCCCTCGACACAAGGGTTTAAAAAAAAAAACAGATACTGCATAATGCCACTGCTATAGAACAGGACTGATATGGGGACTGGGGGAAACTAAGAAAAGGGGATAAATAATGTATAGGGCATTGAAACAGATGAGGGAGAGAGCTGTATAAAAGGAATATATGATTAGGTATTACTGGCATGACAAGAGTCTAGAATAAGAGCTGCATAGTAAGGGGGGGCGGAATGTGTGAATGGGAACTGTATAACAATGAAAGAGCTTTTTTCCAAAGAAAAAGGGAACTGGGGGGGGAGCGAGGGGACAGGGAGGAAAATGTGCAACAATGAAAGAATGGAAATCTAAGTTCTTTATAAACTTTCATTAAAATCTTAAAAAAAGAAAAAAAAATTAAAAAGATATAATCCATATTGAAGGCTCTAGTTGCTTGATCTTCAGTAAGTACTTTAAGTCCTTTTTACTTTCTGACAATGAGGTGCTTGTCATCTGCATATCACATGTAATGAGTCTTCCTTCAAACCTAATGCTACATTCTTCGTCATATACTCCAGCTTCGCAGATTCCTTTTGCTCTGCATAGATTGTGTACCGTGGAGTCAGAGCTGACCCACAGCTGACCCTCCACTCCAGCAGGTTGTCAGAGGCAGTGATTAATTGCACAGGAGGAGACTGCCCATCTTTCTCTCACAGGGCAGCTGGTGGCCTCGAACCACATGCCTTTGGGATCGCAGCAGTTTCTTACCCCTTGGCCACACAGCATATCGATTAGGGATGGAGAAAGGAGAAAAGGCTTGTGTAGGGAAAGGCTTTCTGTCATCTCTGGAGAAAGATCCTTCTCTCTTCAGTGTGTATTTCTTAGAGAACTTCATGGGGTTTGACATCTGTTTACTCCCAGGGTTTGGCATCTATTTATTCCCATGTTTTTGTCTAATGTCTTTTTGTATCTCTAAAGACAGTGACTCAAGACACACTAGACACTAACCTTGTTGTTGTTGTTATGGGCCTTTGATTCATAGCTACCCTCCAGCAGTTTTTCAGATGCTGTTAGTCATAAGGCAGGAGACTGTGTCTCTTTCTCCCTTGGAGCTGGCAGATTGCCTTACAATGCGACCCCTTACCTCCTAGGCCATCAGAGCCTCCTCCACACTACTACCACCCTATGAACACCACAAACAAAACATCTTCCCAACTGAGATTATAGCCACAGGTTTAAACCAGTGCTTCAAACCAGTTCAAGTCTTTGTTGATAAATCAAACTTAGGGCAGTCCTGAACTCCCTCCACCCCCCTCCAGCCAGAAAAAGTAGAAATCAAAAAGTCAAAGCCCTGGAATAAGAGACTGAGAAGAGGCATGGTGAGCTCTTCCGGGAACCTGAAGCCTAACAATGGGTTATTGCCAAGACTGAAGAGGGACACAGGCAAAGGAGTGGTTAGACACCATCGTTGATCCACACACTGCTATTTTCAACTCAGCCATTCAAGAAATTTAGTTGCTGTGTAACTTGCTAAACCAGCTTAAAGCTCTGGTGTAAATGAAAATAAAACAAAACAAGAAACCATTGCCCTCAAGTCAGTTCCAACTCATAGTAACCCAATAAAGAAAAGTGGGACCGCTCTATGGGGTTTCCAAGGCTTTATGGTAGCAGACTGCTCCATATTACTCCCCAGAGCAGCTGGTGGGTTTGAACCGCCAACTTACTGGTTAATTATTGCATCTCCTGAGTTTATCACAGTCTGTTGTTGTTAATTACCATGGAGTCGGTTTTAGCTCCTGGGGACCCTGTGTACATTGGATGAAACACTGTCTGGTCCTGAGGCATTCTTACCACAGTCACTGGGCTTGAATCACTGGGACTCCACCTCCTCCATGACCCTCTCCTTTATCAAACATCATGTACTATTATGTACTATTAATGGACTATTCGCTCCTGGTAGCATGTCCAAAACATGCAAGTCCAGGTCTCACTGCCTCCACTTCTAGGAAGCATGCAGGCTGTACTTTGTCTAAGACACCCTGTATTAGTCATTCTTCACGTAGTCCATAATGTAGTAGGTCGTCTTCACTAATGCCATGACTCAAAAGCATCGATTCTTCAGACTTTCTATTCATTCTATGGATGAGGGTTTACAACATATTTGAGGAAAGACGCAATACAATTCATAACAGGAGTGATTGGGGATGCTACTGAATGGGGGGGAAAGGAAAGGAGAACAGAAGTGAGTTCTAAGAGGTAGCAAGAAAAGATGTACAGTAATAGCTAACAGACATTAGCCTGAACATTGCATATACATTATTTCTTTATAAAGAACAGTTGAGGCTTAGAGAGCTTAAGAACCCTCTCAAGGTTACATAGCACGAAGCCTGGGTGTTCCTATTATGGACTTTGAAGTTAAGATTTTTATTTGAAGCTCTTTTGCAAACTAGTTCCTGACCATGGGCAAGTTAACTAAGCCCTTAATACCAAGATGCCCTTATCTGAAAAGCAGAGATGAATATCAAACAAACCACTTATGTGCTTTTATTTGCACTATAATCCCAATGGCACACGGTTCGAATCCACCAGCTGCTCTGCAGAAGGATGGGGGAGTCCTCTCCCATGGAATTAATAGTCCCTGAAATCCTGCTGGAGGGTCAGGTCAACAACAACAACATATAGTTTTCTATAAATGACCTTGTTTATGAGGAGTTCTGGTGGCACGGTCCGTGGAGAACCACACTGGTAACCCAGAGGCAGTGTGTGTCTGGTGGTCTGAATCCACCAGCATCTCCGCAGGAGAAAGAGAAAAGATGGGCAATCTCCTCCCGTGCACTTTACAGCCTTGGGAACCTGCTGGACAGTCAGCTATGAGTCGGTCTGACTCGATTGTAAAGAAACTGAGTGAGACCTTGTTTATTCTCTTTAACAACCCAACGAGTGGATCTTTTTCTTTATCCTCATTGAGGAATTGAGGCACAGGAGCGGAAAATAATCCTCCCACCCATGGTCATTTAGTTAGTGTAAGTGACAGAGCTGGGATCTGAACCCAGGCTATTTTGCCTTGAATAATGCACCTACTTACTATGTGCTGGGACTGTGTTGGCATTTTACTGGTCACTTGTTTTCAGTGCAAGGCTCACCCTCTTTTACAGACAAGGAAATGAAGGCAGCAACCCATACTGTCCTCTCCTTAGGAATGTGTATTTGATTCATATATTGTCTTCCATCCAAACAACACACACCTAGTTCGGCCTCAGTTCTCCAAAGAAGCCATGCTCTCACACCCCAGGCCTTTGCACACGCGTTTCATTGGCCTGGAATGCTTGGGGAGTTCCTATTCATCCTTCCAGAATGCAGAGCACTAAGTAAGGTACCTCCTCTAAGACTCCCTACCAGTGTCACCTGCTCCCTCCACCCACCACCATATTCATGTCGAAATCTCCTCTTTCCTCTAGGAGCCGGTCGCTGTCTACCAAGCAAAATGAGTTCTGGGCGGCGCCCACCTCCAGCTCGAGTACGTGTGGCCGTGCGACTGCGGCCCTTTGTGGATAGGACAGAGGGAGCACGTGATACGCCCTGTGTCCGAGGTCTGAACAGCTGCTCTCTGGAGATTGCCAACTGGAGGAACCAGCAAGAGACTCTCAAATACCAGTAGGATTCAGGCCACTCTCGGTCCATCCTTTTCCTCTCACTTTATCACTTGCCCAGACGGTGTCTCAGTCCTGCTTCCCCAGCTTCCGTGGTCCTGCGCGAGCTTTGTCCTACAACGTTGTATCATGATACTTTCCATTTATCACTCATGGTTCCCCACTGAGCCATGTACCTGGAATGTACCCCAGGAGAGACTGCATCACATACATTCCTGCTCACAGAACCATTTCTCTGCTGTTGTTTCTCTCTGTCTTCTGAGTCTAGGCAGATCTCAGCACAGAGCCCCGAAAGTCACTCCTGGATCATCCCCCCCCCATGGACCCTCTAATTTTAAGCTTAGCTGAATGGTAAAACTGGAACCCTTCATCAGAATTCCATACACCTTATTTGCGTGGTCCCACCCAATCATTTGTTAGAAGTTACAAGACCATTTGAGAAAGGTCATGTAGAAGTCCTTCATCACACTGTAACCAGCTGAGGAATGGGAAAGTGACCTGCAGGTTAAATCTGGCTGGTTATCTGTTTTTATAACAATTTCCATAATGGCACTCATTTATTTCACATGATATTTTCTGACTATGCTGGTAGAGCTGAGCTTCGGTGACAGGAACCACGTGACCCACAAAGCCTGAAGTATTTACCAGCTGGCTCTGTACAGAAATGGCTTGCTTACACCCCCCACCCCCACCCCATGTTCTGCGGAGCTCTGGTGGCTTAGTGGTAAGGAGCTGCACTGCCAACACAGAGGCTCGCAGTTTGAATCCACCAGCTGCTCTTGGAAGAAAGATGGACAATGTCCTCCCGTGTGAAAACCTGCTTAGAGGGTCAGCTATGCTGTCTGTCCCGACTCACTGGTAAAAACAACTCCTAGGCCCTTTCTTTCTTGCCTCCTCCTTCCCAACAGGTAGCTTACTCTACCTGTGCTAAACTCTCTGCTGCTGTCTAAGCTACAGCTTCTCCACCAGGATTCAGCGACTAGGCCACCAGTGTGCTGAGTGTCACCTCTCAAAAGCAGCGCCTTCGGTTTCTCCTGCCATGACACACACGTGCTGCTTTCTGTCCCTCCTGCAGTGTGGGAGAGGCTGGGAAGGCCAGCCCTTTCACACCGCGTCTTGTCTGTGTGCTAGTGGTTAAAGCCTAGATTTTCATTTCCCTTCTGGCTGGCATGATCCTCGATCCTCTTTCAAGGCCCAGTTCATCTGACATGAATTCTTTATTGAGTACAAGGCATTAAGTTGCACCCAGGACATGATTTAGCTTCAGAAAGCCATCCTCAGATCCTCCATCCCCCTCGAGTAGAATCGATTACTCCTCCTAATGCGTTCTCATCTTTCTTTCTTGAATAGCCTAGTAAGTTGTCTATCCCACCAGGCTGCAGAACTTCCAAGAACAGAACACAGATTCACCTCTCCGTCCCTAATACCTAGACAGAGCCGGGACAGAGGAGGTGTTCAGTGCCTGCTTCCTGAGGTCTTTGTGCAGGAGGAGAGCAATGGAGACCTTGCTTTTAAAATCAAGGCCAGTATCCCAGGGGTGGAGCCCTGTGCTCATTCCCTCCTTTCCTCCTGGCTGCAGGTTTGATGCTTTCTATGGGGAGGGGAGCTCTCAACAGGACATCTATGGTGGTTCAGTGCAGCCCATCCTGAGGCATTTGCTGGAAGGACAGAATGCCAGCGTGCTGGCCTATGGGCCTACAGGGGCAGGTAAGGAAGCAGACAGGACCATCTGCATCAGAAAGGGCCAGACAAGGCAGTGGTAAAACTCCTCACTTTGTCCATTCTCTCCCCAGGGAAGACACACACGATGCTGGGCAGCCCAGAGCAGCCAGGGGTGATCCCCAGAGCTCTTATGGACCTCCTGCAGCTCACAAGGGAGGAGGGTGCTGAGGGCCGGCCTTGGGCGCTCTCCGTTACCATGTCCTACTTAGAGATTTACCAGGAAAAGGTGAGGCCTGGTAGGAGAAGGAAGAGAGATCCAGGGTCCAGCGAGGCCCCGTTCTAGGGGAGGGGAGACCTGAAAAACTGATTACAGTAGCAGATGGTACAATTGTAAGATCCCAGCAAAAATAAAGTAGGACCAGTCCCCAGGAAGTAAGCATATGTTTGGCAAATTGACCCCAACTGTCACTGCCTACACAGGTACTAGATCTCTTAGAGCCGGCGTCGGGAGACCTGGTAATCCGAGAAGACTGTCGGGGGAACATCCTGATTCCAGGCCTCACACAGAAGCCCATAACTAGCTTCGCTGAGTTTGAGCGGCACTTTCTACCTGCCAGTCGAAATCGGACTGTCGGAGCCACCCGGCTCAACCAGCGCTCCTCCCGCAGCCATGCTGTGCTCCTGGTCAAGGTGAAGCTCATTGCTACAGAGAAGAACTGGGGGATGCCCTGGCACCTGAGCTAAGCCTGCGCCCCTTGCTCTTAACCCTAGGTCGATCAGCGGGAACGATTTGCCCCATTCCGCCAGCGGGAGGGAAAACTCTACTTGATTGACTTGGCTGGCTCCGAGGACAACAGGCGCACAGGCAACAAGGGCCTGCGGCTAAAGGAGAGCGGTGCCATCAACACTTCCCTCTTTGTGCTGGGCAAGGTGGTAGATGCACTGAACCAGGGCTTCCCTCGAGTGCCCTACCGGGACAGCAAGCTCACTCGCCTGCTGCAGGTCTGGCCACCCACCTCGGAGCTAAAGGGGCTGAAGTGCCGGGGTGTTGGGGACAGCAGTCAAGGGATGGGAAAGCTTGGCTCTCACCTGCCCACCTTGTCCAATCTCCATCCCTCAGGACTCCCTGGGTGGCTCAGCCCACAGCATCCTCATTGCCAACATTGCTCCTGAAAGACGCTTCTACCTCGACACGGTCACTGCGCTCAACTTCGCTGCCAGGTCTAAGGAGGTGATTAACCGGCCTTTCACCAATGAAAGCCTGCAGGCTCCCGGTGAGTCTGGGGAAGGCAAGAGAGGAAAGGCCAGGTCTGGGCAACCGGCCAGCTTGCCGAGGTTCCAAAGCATCATTGCAGAGGCTGACAGCTCCCATTTCCCCCTAGTTTTGGGACCTGTTAAACTGTCCCAGAAAGAACTGCTGGGTCCACCAGAGGCGAAGAGAGCCCGAGAACCTGAAGAGGAGGAGGCTGAAACCCCTGACCCCCCAGAAGCTCCAGCTTCAGGCTCTCAGAGTCTCAGGTGAGTAGTGAGAGGGAGGCCTTAGGTGCGCCCCCTTCTATGCAGAGCCCTGAGCACAGACTACTGTGAACAACATGCTCTTGGCCTTACCGTCCTGAACTCAATGAGGCGCTAAAATGGGTCTGCTGTGTGCCCACCTAAGGAGGTCTCCTCCTTGGGCTTCCAGTTCTGTTTCTATTTTTTTAGTCCCTTTAGGTCATTAACAAAAACCTCCTTCTTTGGGGGCAGCTATTCAAAGGCTAGACCGCTCAGCGTGTGTTAAACTTCTCTGTCATCTTCAAGGGTCCAGTCACTGTTAGGACAAAGCCTCTCAAAATTAAAGCCTTTCTCCCCAGCTTGACGAGACCCATTAACTTGGAGTGTTCCTCCATCTACTCCCAGGCACTTGCACATTAAAAACAGGGCAATTCCTGCCCTTGAGTTGCTCACATGTAGTAAGGAAGACACAAAATAAGCAGAGCATCAAGACAAAGGTGGGATCAGACTGACTTTGAGAGAGAACTGAGATATGTGAGGTGAGAGAGAGTGCAAGGCAGAGGAACAGCATTGTACAGCAAACAGCGCTGCACCCTCACTCAGGTTAAATCGGAACTCTGACGAGGACTTGCCTGCTGCCTGCAGGAAGAGGACTGGCTGGGCACCCCGTGGCTTTCCAAGACCCCTCCAGTTTTCCTGAGTGCTCCTCCAATAGGCACTCAGCCCCTGCTGTTTCATTAGGGTTCTCTTATTTCCCTTGTTAGACCACGCCTCCAGGATAGCGCGATGACTTAGCTGATAGCTGCTACCCTGGTGTTCATTAAATGCTTGTTCGCATCTAACCCCCTGGCATCCCCGACAGCTTACTAGGACAAGCTGGCAACCAGTCCTCGTTCAGCTAATGAAGACACTACACCCAGGAAGGCGAATTATTTGCTCAGGGTTGCCCAGCACCTAGTGGATAATGCAAGTTGAGAGGAGAGGAGACAAGTGGGAGTGACCTCTTCCTTCCCCTTAGTCTCCTGCAGAAGCTAAGCAACATGGACCCCGCCGTGCTGGAGCGCCTCGTAAACTTGGATCGTCTGCTAGGCTCCCAGGGGAGTAAGGGGGCGTCCCTGCTGAACACTCCGAAACGAGAGCGAATGGTACTCATGAAGACCGTGGAGGAGAAAGACCTGGAGATTAAAGTAAGAGTTAGGGGCTAGGGCTGGCATTCTTCCTGTCCTTGAGAGGCAGTCCTAGAATTTTAAGGTAGAGGATGAACTTGAGGCTGGAACAGTTTTTACTTAGCACTGAAAACCTCAAGTCGTTCAGCTTTGGTTTGATTGTCCTGAGTTAGGCTGAACTTTCAAAGCTGTGATGCAATGAAAAAGAGAAAAATCCAGGTAGAAGGAACCAATGTCAGAGATTGTCATCTCCTAAAACCCAGCTCAGATGAAGTCTAGAGTTTCCCTGAGCAGCTGTCCCTTCAGTTTTTCACAGAATGGCTTGCTCCACCTCTGGGCATCCCTGATCATTAGAAAGCCCTTAATTATACTGAACCTCAACTGTCTCCTGGTACCCTCTCCTGCTGGTCCTAACCTTGCCCTCTCGGGCCTTAGGTCTCTCGCTGCTGTCCCCCAAGCTTCCCTGGAGCTGAATCTGGGTCACATCTCTCCCTGGTACTTCCCAACAGAGGCTCAAAATGAAGCAAAAAGAACTGGAAACCAAGGTGCTGGCCCAAGAGGCTGTGGATCCAAAAGATAAGGAGAATATCTCTCCCAAGATGCTCCGGCCCCTTTCCTGCCGCACAACCACCGAGACTGAGCCCCTAAAGAAAGCAGTGGTGATCCCCTTACAACTGTGTAAGTATGGCCTGGTGGGTCAGGAGGATGGATAACCAGGATCCCAAAGGGAAGAACATATTAGTGCCACCTCAACAAAAGCACTCCCATCTTCCCACATGTCAGCCTTGGGGAGGATCTGAGGCAGAGCTCTTTGAGTGCTCTGCCCTCAAGTATTACTAATACAGTGAGGTTGACCAATGTATGAGGAATTATAATGCAAAACCCCTGGAGAATATTGTCAAATACAGGTGTAATAAAGGGTAAGTGGAGACAACAACAGAAGTTAACTCAGGGTGGAGAGAAGCTAGGGAATCCAAAACGGGAGAACCAAGGGTCTACCAGGGAGCGTGAAAAGTGACCTCTGGCCTGACAAGTAAGTGTCTTAATTCCTGCTTTCAGTGCAGAAGCAGGCAGCTTCTCCACATACTGAGGTCCATATCCTGAAGAAGAGAGGCCGGAAACGGAAGGTGAGTGCAACTGGAGCTTAGGGGTTCCGTCTCTAGAAAAGGGTTGTTGTTGTTGTTGTGTACCATCGAGTTGAACTCATAGCTGACCCTCCTCGGGATTTTCAGAGGCTTTAGATTGCCTCTGAAGACAGGAGGAGACTGTCCACCTCCTCCCTTGCATCAGCTGGTGGATTGAACCTAGTGCCTTCAGGATGGGAGCACAGCTCCTTACCACTAGGCCACGAGAGCTCCCTCTGAAAAGAGGTAGTGAATGGGAAGGCACTAGCCTTGCCCTTATGAACCATTTACAAACCTTACTGCCTGCTTATCTTCTCAATGCAGTGAAGCTACCTCACAGCAATGCTCCAGATGTACCTAGCACTCAGCTGGTATCTATCACCTTGTTACCTTTTTTCCTGACTATTCAGTAACTATTTAGTAGTTACAGTATGTACCTAGTAACTATTAGTTACAATCTGTAATTGATCTAGCCAAATTTAAGAACTCATATGACCTAAGTAAGCATGCAAGAAATGAAATGGCATTAGAACAACCCAAAAAGAAAGATGGTATGTGATATGCAGGAAGCTGATTAAACTGAGCAGCTTTTCCTGTGTCCCAGGAGAAAGAAGAAAGCCACTTACTTTTCTGGAGGGTAGGGAGGGGTGCAGATTCAAAAGCTTACTATGTTTGTTACATTCACAAACTCATCTTCACAAGTAGTAACCTGAGGACTAGTGTCACTTTCACAAGTCAGATAAAAATGAGAATTAACCCAGAGAATAACCAAGAGTTTATGTGTTTTCACTTTTTAAAATTTTTTCCTTTTTAAAAAAAAAAAATATTTTTTGTGTGTGTACCATTAAATCAGATCTGATTGGTACAGGAGATTGCCCCGCCTTCTCCAGCAGAACATATGGTGGATTCAAACCATGTACCTCTGGGATTGCAGTGCAGCTTCTTGCCACCAGGCCACCAGAGCTCCCTTAAAAATTTTTACTATTAAAAAATGGATATTAATAGTCAACATCTTAAAACATCCACCAGGGATTTTTGGTTTTGGTTTTTTGTAACCAGTGTTTTAAAAACAACGCATCCAATGGTACACTAAACACACCTGAGAAGTTGGTAACCGGCTGAGGGGTAAGGAGAACATGCCAGCAGACTTCAGTCTAGAAGGCCCAGCTGCCTGAGACTGGACCAAAAACTGCCACTGTGTCACTCTCCCACCTCCCCTCACAGCTGGAGCACCAGGATGCCTCCAAACCGGAGGAAAAACTTGAAGAGGTTTGGGAGCCAGAGATTAGCCCAGAGCTACTGGCCCTTGGGCGTCAAAAAATCTTGGAATTGCTAAACAAAGGCTCAGCCCGGGACCTACGCAGTCTGCAGCGCATTGGCCAGAAGAAGGCCCAGCTCATCGTGGGCTGGAGGGAGCTGCATGGCCCCTTCAGCCAGGTGAGGACCCCGGGGAGGCACCAGTGGGGCCCGGTGGGGGTTGGCGAGGGGGAGGCTGGCCTTTGTAGACCTTCCTTCCATCGCTGCTGTCCCCCCAGGTGGAGGACCTGGAACGTGTGGAAGGCATATCTGGGAAACAGATGGAGTCCTTCCTAAAGGTGAGGTCGCAGCCTCCCTCCTCTCCTCTTCCTGGCATGGATCCTCCTCCCAGCTCTAATGCTGCCTTTTCCCCCCCTCTGTCCACAGGCGAATATCCTGAGCCTCGCCGCGGGCCAGCGCAGTTGCCCCTCCTGACTTGTGTCACTTCTCACTGTGCATTTGTTTAATCCTTGTATAACCCTGTTGTGTAAATATAGTTTTTATTCTGGTGCTTCAGCGTGATCCTTGGGACTGAGGGAAGGGAAGGGTGGGAGGTGCGGGGACGATCGCACTTGGGATCCGCCAGGAGTTCTTCCGGCGAACTTCTTCAGACGCCATCTTTGGGAAAACAGGAACCAGCCCAAAAGATAGTAAATAAACCGCCGGGATAGGGGGGTAAAGCGACGGTGGCCGAGAGGGACCAAATTTACTAAGTGCAATCTCTAGGCCGACGACCGTTAGGCGGGAGCGCGCTTGAGCTCTAGCTCCGCCCCATCCGTGCCCCCGGCACGCGCGACCCGCTCCCGCTCAGTAACGACAGCGGGTTTTGTGCGCGTGCGCGCGAAATAACGGCCACTGGCGGAGGGAGGGGGGTGGAATCGTTGAAGGGGGGAAAGAGGAGCAGCCGCCCGGTCTCCCGCGCGCCCACCACCTGCGCCATCACCAGCCAATCAGCGGCCGTCTCAGGGGTCTCGCGCTCGGGGCGACTCCGGCTGCTGGGTGGCTCCCCCGTCCCTCCTCCCGCCAGAGTCCCTCTCGGGCCTGCCCCCCTCCCGCTGGCCTCGCGCGC